CTTCTTATACTATTGATAGTATCAATATTGATTGCAGTTGGTTTTTTGATTAGAAAAAGGAAGAAAAATGAAGGTATGAAATACATTAAAAATAATGATTGATTTAATTCATTACAATTAGTAGCTGAAGATCTGATTACTACAAATAATCCAGCATATGGTGAAGGTGTGTAGCACTGAATAGTGTAATAATTATAATGAATACATCTTTTATAGTTGTACAGATACATGGCAATAGATCTATTGTTCAAACTGAAGTTAATCCAGCCTATGAGACTAGTACTGCAGTCAATAATACTGTACTGTATGAAACTGTGTGGTAGTTAGACTGAATTAGACAGAACTATCATCAAGCATGGCAATGTTTAAAATGTTACTAATTTACAATAAATATTGCTTACTATTAAAACTTATGATTATTCCAAAACCAACTCTGTAATTTAGAACATCAAAAGTCAGCGATCTTTCTATTAGATCTCATTATACTGAGATGAGACTAACTGCTTAAGTCCATGAGTTTTTTAAATTCCTAAACATCACATGATGCTACTGCATTTCACTTGTTATAAATTGAATTATTTTAACTTCTTCTAGTCATTACAGTGCCTCCAGTATCAGTAACAGTTCTTCCTTTGACTACAGCAACATTTACTTGTAAAAGAGCTGGAAATGAACTTCATTGGTGGATACAAATTGCTCCACTAACTAATTCCATTGCACAACAAAGAGGAATCACATACACTGATCCTGGTAACTTATCATCAGTACTTACTATCAGTGCAGTATCTAATAATGATGGGTTATTTATTAATTGTCAGATAGTGTCATACCCACCTGTTAAACAAGTATTCTCTGGTGCTAAGCTATCCATACAAGGTTAGCTTGCACAGTAAGTTTTGATTCTGTACATGTATATTATTAATCAGGTGTTTCAGCAGTTGAAAATTTGAAATTCAATTCAACTTCATTATTAATAACATGGTCACATCCTGTTTATTTCTCTAATGATGTTCCTTTTGGATCACCTTTAAGCTACCAAGTAGTAGTAACTGATGAAGAAGATGGAGATATCATACTGGATACAAACACAGGGCCAAATACACACATGTATATTGCAGTGCTTAATATTACACAATGTGATACAATTAACATCAGTGAACAGCACTACTGGGTCAATATTCCTCAATTAATATTATCAGTAATAATGGAAGTAAGTGAATGGAATATTAATGTCAGTGACATTTTTGGTATAGGTAATGGTTATGCTGTTAATATTACAATTAATAAAGATAATTTTATAAGACCTAATGTGACTATTGAGGTAAATATGAATTAATTTAATAATGTGCTTCATTGTTTGTCATCAGTTAAGTTGTCCTCCTTCACAATCCAACACTTTCCTAACTATTACCAGTGACAGTACTGCAGTCATTGATCAGTACACATTCACTGGTACTGATGAGTCTATTAATGATATACGTACATTAATACCATATCATCAATACAATTATACTGTACGTGTATTTAACTTAAGGAACAAGCTCCAGTATGAGACATACACCATCATCAGTAAGTATATAGCTACTATTATATTTATTAATATTCATTTCTTTCTCTCAGCTACATATCAGGTCATTGGTCTCTACATTAACAATACATATACCAATGGATCAGTTAGTGTACAGTGTATATATCAACTAGTATCAACTGATGATGGATGTCATGTGGTATTCACTGATACTAGTAATGGAAGGAATGAACACTTTAATATAACTGGATCAGACTATAGGATACTATCAGTATCAACCAGTGGAGTGTATAATGTATCAGTTTATTATCTCAACAATGGATCAATATATGGACCTGCTGTACACTATCATTCACTGGTTGAGATTATAATCATTAACATACCATCACCTTCTAATACACTCACTACAATCAATGGTAATGAAATCTATCATCATTATTATTATTATTATTATTATTATTATTATTATAATTATTGATTTAGCAGTCAGTAGTGAGTCTTTTGAAGCAACACTTCATTATTCATTTCCTACTACAGTATCAACAGGTATAATAATAAGGTACAATAAGTTAATGATATACTGTTATCATTCCACAGAGCATACTCCAATGATGACAGCTACTCCAGACAGTACACCAATGATACAATTGTTATATACTGTATCCTCAGTGGTGGGTTCAGTCATCTTCTTAATACTATTGATAGTATCAATATTGATTGCAGTTGGTTTTTTGATTAGAAAAAGGAAGAAAAATGAAGGTATGAAATACATTAAAAATAATGATTGATTTAATTCATTACAATTAGTAGCTGAAGATCTGATTACTACAAATAATCCAGCATAT